CTCGCCCACGGGGTGTGTGTGACTCCAAGAGGCTTTTTTTGAAGCGAGGCCGCCAAACCGAGGCCGGGATTAGGGCGGTGGCGGTGGGATTGGGGGGTGTTTGAAGAGCCGGGCGTCGGGCCCAGCCGTGTCTCGTGGCGAAAGTGCGGTTGCCAGAGCGCCGCTTTACCCAGCGGCCTCCCCGTGCAGGAGCCGCCGCCGCCGCTGCCGCCGCCGCTTCTCCTGCCGCCGCCGCCGGAGCCTTTTTCACCTCCATTGTCCGGGCCGGGTTGGGCCGATGGGCCCCTCCGCCGCTGGAGTCGCCCTGCAGCCGCCGCGCCTCAACCGGGCCGGGGCTTGAGCCGAGCTCGGTGAGAGATCCGCGCGCGCCGAGGGCTTGGGAGGCTGGCTGGGCGAGGCGCCGTCGGGCGGCGGGAGCGACACGGCCTCGGGGAGGGGGACCCCCGAAAGCAGCAGTTTCTTCCCTTCCCGGAAAGGGACAGGCAGGGGCCTCCTCCCTCCCTCCTCCCGCCACCGCCCGGAGGCTGCGCGGGAGAGGCGGGGCGGGTGGAATGAAGCGGGCCGCCCGTTAAGAGAGGTCGCGGCGGCAGGTGGCGGGGAGGCTGGCGCGGGTCTCCCTCCCCAGGAGCCCCGCTCGGCCGCCGCACGTGCATGGCAGGGGGGGGGGTTCCCCGCGGGAGCTACGGGGGTTAGCGTGACAGCCTTTCTCTCTCTCTCTCCCCTCCCCCCCGGTCTTTCTCCTCTCTTCCCTCCCAAAAAATCTGGAGCTTCGTCCGCTTCACAATATGGGGCGAGCGAGGTTGGTAGGAAAGCAGCCTGCGTTGGGGAAACCCTCTGCGCTCCCACATTGCGCCCCCCCCTTTCAGGCCTTTGGGGGGAGTGGCAGGTGATAAGGGGGGGGGGAGAGGTAGCATCTCCGGGGCGGCGGTGGGATCAGCCGCCCGTTTGGGAAGTCAGGGGTGCGCGCGATGGATGCCGTCCGCCTACCGCTCAAGCCAAGCTTGTCTGTTTTAAGATGGACCGGACCTCGAAACTTTTTACCTTTCTCCCTCCCGTTTTTGGGGGGAGTCACGCGTGAAAGGCCGCCGGTTGGGGAAAACTCTGCTGTTGACACCCCCCAAAAAAACTTCTTAGCACAGATGTGCAACAGGGGTGGCTGCAAACGCGCTTAAAGGAGGAATGGTCTCTCCCTCTTTCTCTTTCTCTTTCTCCTGCAAGCTCTTGTTCCTGTCTTTTTCCTCTCTGGTGTCTCCCCCCCCCCCATGATTTCTCTTGAATTGGAAAACAAAACCAAAACAAAACTGAGCCTGAGTTTTGACAGCTCCCTTTTCTGTCAGTTGTCCTTCCCTCCTTAAGAGCTGCAGGTAGAATCTGGGGATGGGAAGACAGTAGAAGGTTTTTCTTTTTAACTTGAGCTCCGGTGCCAAAAGAGAGGTGCTGCGGGTATTAGGAAGGGGGTGTGTGAACTGGCATAGGCAGAGAGAGTGCTTATCATTCTTTGCATTCTCTTTAATATTTTCTCCCGTTTATCCCAGCTGCTGACATCCTCTGCCTTAACTGTCATTTTTTTCCCCTGCTGGTAGCGAGATTGCAGAGAAAGATTGAACTGTCAGAAGTAGTACCAACTGTTGGCATTCCTCCACTTCACCTTCCCATATTTTCCCCCCTTCTCCCTTTCTTTCTGCCTTGTGCATAGCTGTGGTTAACCATGCGATGGGGGAGCCATTTCCACTACAGTGAGTTCATCATTCTTAGAGGCAAGAGGGAAAACATGGGATTAGCAAGAAGTGTCAGTAAAGGGGAATCCTCCTTAGCATGCTGACAGATTGTCTTCAGTCAGTTCCCTTCCTTGACAGAGCTACAGGAATCAGCATGAGATTAGTGGGATTTCTTCTCAAGGTAATGGGGTGGCATGGCAAGGGTGCTAAGTTACCATCAGAATAACACTAGTACTACATCTCTCCTTTTAAACGCCCACTGGTACTATCTGTCCCCTTTTAAGTGTCCATTGGGTTTGCTCCAGGCTGGGTATTGGTAGTTATAACAGAATTGTGAAGTGATTGATTCATCCTCCCCATGCATCCTCCTTAATTCCTGTTCCCTGCCTAGCCAAATGGCTCCCTGCCGGATGAAGAAAGGTGTGTGAGAAAGCAAGGTATGCTTGGGACTGGGCTGGGAGCCTCTTTCCTTCCTCCTCACTTGGGAACATGATCCGAGTGTCCCAGAGTCTCCCAGAGGCTTGGAATTAAAAAGACAGAGAAGAACATCGTTAATAATATAAGAGTGTTAGCTTCAGCTGTCTCAATAAAGCCAGTAAAGCTTCAGCATAAAAACAAATAGAAGAATTTACTTTTGAAAAGAAAGGCAAATGAAATGCTTCCTCTAAAACAGGTCTGCACTGGGGAAATCTTTCCTGGAATCATTTCCTATAATGTAGTTTAATTCAGTACAAATAGCATGTGGATAATCTTCCTTATGCAACTGAGAATGGGATTATTTTCAAACTTGTATCCTTTTCGCATCTTTGATTGATGGTTAAAAATAAAATCTCCTTTGAGTAGAGTTTAACTCCTGGCGACCTCATAAATATGTCCAGATAGAAGGGGTTGGGGTTTGGGGGTTTTTTTTTGGGGGGGGGGGGGGAAACACAGAACTGATTTACCGTTG